GGGGTGGGGGGAAGGTGTTTTGATTTTAAGATCTGGTTGTATCTCCCATTGTTCTACTCTGATGTTGGTAACAAATGAAAATTGTGTTGTTTTTATTCCTTGTGATGAGTCTGTCTTTTGCCTGTGACCTGTTTAAGTGGTGAGAAGCCCTCCCAGTCCTTATTTTGACTAGCCCTTTTTTGGAGCATCATGGTGCTCAGTTATGCACTGGGCTTAAACCACGACAAGACTCAAGACAGAGAACAGTTCTGGAGTTACCACTTTGGCCTGTAAGGATGTTTCTCCCCAGAAAGAGTTTTTGTGGATCATTAATTGGAACTGTGCTAATAGACAAGGTTTCCATCAGAATACTGCAAACCCTAGCACTCCTGTATTCCACAGGGCCAACAACAAAGATGCTGGGACAGACTTAAACCTTCAGTCTTTTTGAAACTTTGGAAAGTACTAGGGAATACCTCACCAATGTGAAACTTGAAATTCACAGAGTAACATAACAACAAGCAACTACCTCATCACAATATTTTGGAACAAAAGCTTATTTCTAGACTACAAGACTTATTCTTTACCAATAAACTATGGCTGCTTTCTGCAGAGGAATAGGAGAGCAAGAGCATTTGGAAGGCTCCAGGTGGAGAACATATGCTGTGTCAACTGTCAGAGAAGACAGAAATAGGCATTTCACGTTTGTTGTGGTTGAGGGCTGGGCTGGCCACTAAATCCTGGACAGACGCTCTCTGTTAACCCCTCTCCCCTCCCCAGAAAGAAACAAAAAAGAGAATAAGGGAGAGAGACGTTATGGGTTGGAAAATAAAACAGTTTTTATAAAACAATAATGCTAACACTGCAGGATAATAATCTAAATAGGAAAACAATGAAATATATACAAATAGACATATAAAACCAATATAACATCCTCCCCTCACCCTCCCCCAATGACGAATACGTCACCAGAGGCTCTGCAGAGCTGGGCACTGGGAAAGTCCCAGACCGAACTCAGCAGCAGTGGGAGCTGATGCAGGAACACACGAATCAGGATCAGAGGCAGACAGGGTACAGGGTCTGCTCGGACTTTGGCCATTGCAGGATCGAGACAGACGGAAGGGTCCGAGATGGAAGGGCTCCAAGATGGAAGAAGGGTCGAGACCCTCGTGATCCCTCAGCTTTATACTGAGTATGACGTGTGTGGGATGGAATACCTCGTTGGTCAGTTTTGGGTCTGCTCCACCCCCGTAGTTGCAGATATGGCACCCGTGAGGAGACACCTGACCTTGAACGTTATCAGTACACACTGTCTGGGAAAAACATGCTGCCAGTTTTCGGCAAGTTCAGCCACTTAAAAGAGACTGAGCTGAAAAGTAAAATCACTAAATAGAAACTTAGTTCTCTTTAGCTCAAACCAGGACAACGTTCCTTTAGCAGGAAGACAGACTGCGTTCTTGAATGCATACCTTACCACTAATTGTATATGGCTTCAAGATCGTGCAGTACAGCTTTAATGTTTTCTTCATTTGCTTTATGAAAAAGAATTTGTTAAAAAAAACCCACAGTGCCTAGTAAAGCATGCATTATTTTTTGCTGATGCACAATACATTTTTTAAATTCAACGAAAAAACATTAAAACATGTTGCAAATCAGGTTAAAAAAAACAACCAAAACAAACCAATCAAACAAACAAAAATCCAAATTCATTAACATAATTATACTTCTACTTACAAGTATGTAAGCATTCTGTTACAGTAGTAGCATCAATCAGGTATCCATTGCACAGACGACAAGTTATATGGGCATTAATGTCCCAAAGCTTAATCTTTCTTGTTAGCATCTTTGGTGTCTGCAAAAAAGACATACCATAAAGTAACACACCTGCAGTGATCAGGTAAAAGTCATTTGAGAATAAATAGTAACTAGAATCAACTGTAAAGATACATTTATACAGTTTTAGGCTCTCACACAATGTTTATGTGCATGAATGCACACACATAGTAACAGTACTAACTTCTAAAGGATTTCACACAAGAGAAACAATGTAAAACCCACACTATTTTGCAAGTCAAAAATTCAACTGCATAGAAGAGTCTTTCTACCATGCTATTAATAAGTTCCTTTACCAAGGAAGACACTTGGATTTAAGGTAGATTTAAGCTGAAACCCTACTACTGTACTGATCTAAGTCATCACATTCAGTCTAATAATGGAAAAAAAGTAATAAAAAAATTGGAGAGAGAAAATCCTCAAAGTGATTTGAGAATTGTAAGCATTTTGATACTGAAAAGTGAAAATAACTGTCTGATTTGACATAGTAAGTTTAAGGACACTTTTAAATGTTTGCCTTATGCCAGTATGGTTAAAGCATAATTTTGAAGCTCTGCCTCACTAATAGAGCTGAGAAGTAAACCTTCTAAAATCCCATTTTATTTAAACTCAAGTTAATTAAAGAACATATTAAACTAAAATAGTCTTATTGGCAGAGCTGCAGTTTGTTGAACTAAGGAAAATGAACTAGAAGGTTTTCCTCTCTTCAGAGCAAGGGATGGCATAATGACCCTTAAAAGGAAGAAAAATCAGAAATTAAACAGCTCACTTAACTTCTCTTCTGCAGCAACCCCAAATGCTTTTAAAGAAAACACCACACAAAGCCCACACCTTAACAAGTGCCTTTTAAATATAGCTGTATTTTATTTTTCAAAACATATAAAAAATAAAATTGTCCTGTTACCGTAAGTTGACAGCAATAATTAACAGAGCAGGCTAAAGCGGCTTAACCTGTAACATTCGATTCTCGTGCTGCACAAGTAACCAAATTAAACTTTTTTCCATTAAAGTGACTTTACTGTCCCTGGCTCACAAATACTAGGCCGCTTAATTTGGAATACACTTCTGAATTTGCATGGTGACATGTTCCCCAAATTTCACATAGAAATATCGTAAAAAGGTTGTCTCATCTTTAATTTAATTTGTCATATTCTTGTTCTATGTTTAATGAAGTGGTACTAAGCAAAAAGAACTATCAAAAGGCAAACTTTCACACTAATCTAATTCACACATGGCATCCTGGGGTGTATCAGAAGGGGGGTGGTTGTAGGTCAGAGAGGTTCTCCGTCCCCTCTACTCTGCCCTGGTGAAATCACATCTGGAATATTGTGTTCAGTTCTGGGCCCCTCAGTTCAAGGAGGACAGGGAATTGCTAAAAAGAGTCCAGCACAGAGCCACAAAGATGACGGAGGGAGTGGAGCATCTCCCTTATGAGGAGCAGCTGAGGGAGCTGGGTCTCTCAGTTAAATAGAAAGTCAGCACATTGGAAAACATAATTCATTACAGGCAAAAGAGGAATTAAGCTGCAAGGATATTTATAAAAGCTCTATCAATACAACTCTAGTTACTTGCCTAAGCAGGAATTCAGAAAAAGGTGTTCAGGATCACCTGAACGGACTGAATCCAAGAACTAATAAGGCAGAAAAGCCAAAAATACTATGGTGAAAACTGACACAAATAAATAACTTATTTTCTAGCAAAAACATGACAGTTTTTCTCCACTACAACCGCTGTCACTAGAAAAAAACAACCCGCAACACACAAAAAACAGTTCAGCTAGAGTATTATGAGAACAATGATTGAACCACACAATGAAGAAGGTAAAAATACTACAAAATGGTAATAAAACCCATCATGCCAGAAAAAGAGGATAGCAAAGATAATACACACTTTACTGACTCAATGAGAAACAAAATCATACACTCCTTGGCAATAGGAAAACACATGTCTTCTAGAACATCCAGAGCAAGCCTGTCGAATCAACTGTTCAATCGATTTCATGCACCTTTCAAGAATGAGACAAAACTCCTCTCAGTAGATGTTTAAAAAACAGAAACTGGGAAGTACTAGAAGCAGCAACAGAATGGCAACAGGTTTTTCCAGAGCATTAGACACCTCAGTTTCAAAACAAGACAAAATCTTGAGTAGGAGATTTCTCCAGAAAGTCAGGCCCGTACTTCTGTACTGCAACTGCTAAAGCAAGAAAATTCTTTCTTCTCTGCATATGCAGAGGCCCAGACCTGGCAGCTTCAACACAGCTTGAATCTCCAATAAGCAACACAGGTTTTAATGTCTGTAAGCAAGCTGTCAGTGTCAGACTCCACTTTAGCCTGCATCTTGTGCAATTGAGACCTGTGTCCTCTAGTCTCAGGTTAAAGAAGAAAATTAGGATTCCCCTCTTATTTTTCATACAAGCTAAGCTGCAACAATAGGCAGCCTTATTAATTTATTTTTTTAAAAGGCCAGACCAGTTCATATCTATACAGAAAGGAAGGGAGGGGCTAGAAACAAAACGGCATATTACCAAGATGCCAGTTATGTTAGACAACATATTTGAAGACTCAGCTTTGAAGACAATTTGAACTGCTTCCCAGAGGGCAAG